GAGGGCCAAAGGGTCATTCCATGTTGCACTGCCCCTTCTAGATGTGAAGAGGGTGACTGGGATCGACTGTATGAAACTACCCTCAGTTAGAAGCCATGTGGAGGTTTCATCAAAATTTTGTCCGGACCATGCTCTGTCACTGACAAAATGATTCCAAAGCCTCCATGCCGATTCTGCTCCTTGATACAGCCTGATTGGCGTCCGAACTGGGTCGAAGCATCTGTCCTCGTCAATCTCCGCTGCTGTCCTATCACGAGGCGGATCTTGCATCAATCCGTTGATGTCGTCTTCACGCTCGTCCAGGGTTGCAGTGTTATCCCTGTGTTTAACCTGGGTATGCTCTTGGACGGTGAGGCCGTCCTTGATTGCCAATATTGTGCCCTGACTGTGAATGTCACTGTTATCGGCACACCCCATTTGTTGTCTGACAAGGATGAGGTCCACAAGAGAGGAGTCGGGCACCAGCAAACGCTGTCTTCCACTGAAAACAGCCTGCTCCTGCGCTTCATGATTCCTAACTGAGGCAAAGACTTGCTCATACAACCCTGCATGAAGCACTCCAACCCATTCAAGTATTTGCATCACCTGTAGGTCTCTGGACAATCGCGCGGCTCTCCTCATCAGAAAGGTTCGCCCTGTACCCAAGGTAGGGTCGGTTGTATCCCAGACATCGAATAGATGCACAACTTGATTCTGTTCAAGATGTTGGTTCTCAGTGGCTATGACATGGATGTTTCTGAGATGCATGCATATTCCCTGGTGGTTGCGGCGCAACTGCTGCTAACTTCGGCGTCTTGAAGAAGTCTGAGGTTTTCCAGTATGTTCGGAAGTCTCTTGCCCAGTTGCCATCCGCTAAGTGAGGGTAGTCACATTGGTTAGTGACTTCCACCATCGGGTGCATCCTCCAAATAGCAAGTGTAATCTGCCTCTCCCCAGAGTAGCAGGGAAGGTCAGAAATCCATCTTCTAAGATCATCACGCTTGACAAAGTTTTGCGCAGCAAAGTTGGCGATGTCATGCATTGGTTTTTTGTGTTCAACTGCATAAGCAAACCTCGCACTAGCGATAGTGACTGTCTGATATTCTGTGAGTTGCATGAGATTTACTGTATCCACATCCAGGGTTGCAGTGTTATCCCTGTAGACACGTAGGCGAGCTGCTCTCCATCGAAGACACACATCGTCTGTGCCTTTCGGCTGTATGGAGATTACTTCTCCTTTCCGCCAGATTCGGTGTGACACTCGCTCATGAGCGCTTCTGACAAGATGCCACATCCTCGTGCGCATGCGCAGAAATCAGCTCTGAAGCCCTTGCTTTGGTGTATTAAGACAGCAGTGGGCCCATGTGTCTCAAAGACAACAAAGTGGAAAGCGATCCCAAAAGTGTGACGATCAGGCTGTGGTCTAGCAAGCTCAAAAGAGCAGGTACTTGGAGGCAACAAATCAGCCCAAGCCTGGCAAACGGCTTCACGGATATTACCTAGTTGTTCCGGCGTGACAGTGATATCTCTAGCACGCTCGTTACATCCATCCGGCGGTGCGTACCAGACCTTGGCATGAAGCTGTCTGCTCTCAAAGATTACCTCACTCAAGTCCTTAGATTTCAAAATTGCTTGCAAAGACCGTTCGACATTGTGGTGACTTGGTGCATGAATGTCGACAAAATCGCCCAAAACTGATTGGCCCTGTGCAACGTATCTGTCGAGGCTTCCGTTTGTCGGTAAACCTCCAACTTCAACGGACAATAGACCATGACCTTCTGCGTCCTGATGACGGACTGGTTCATTGTCCCTACCCTCACAAGGTCCGGAAGGGTAAGCACTATCTGATTGGAGAGGGTTTCTAGCCTCTGGTAGGGCACACTCCTCTCTTCCAAGATCTGCCAGAGGGATGTTTTCATCTTCAGTAAATCTAGTAGCATTCTGCATCAAAATTCCATACTCATGAGGTGTGGCGTGACATGTTATTCCACGCATCCCTGTAACATCCGAACTGATGGGTCTTGGCCTACTTGGCTGGTCTTCAACTGTAGGATAGTCATCCCTTTGAGACCTGTTCGTGTTTCCCACGTGTTCGCTGGGAAGAACAGTGTCACCAGCTATCGTTGTAGGTTTGTTGGCATTCTCATGAACATCTTGCTGCATCATGAACAACTCATCTGAAAACCAGTGAGACTGGCTGTGACGCATGATGTTCACATCATTATGGTCAGCTTGTATCTGAGTATGATGGATGCTGACCTGCTGTGTTATTGCCTGAAGCTCGCCGCATGCATGTGCACTGACAAGGTTGAGGCACAAAACTAATCCGGTCCACGACGAGTTTCTTCGGAACCTCAGGCGAACCCCTTTCCTAGTCTGGCCAACTCGAACAGAAGGCCCTATGCAATCCCTTCGAAATCTGATATAAGACCTGCAGCATGCAAGGATCAAGATAACTAGGCAAATGAGGACAACAGCACAGCCTAATCCGTCCCATTTGCTTCCCCCATTCCTGCTAACTGTGCTCATCAGATTTACAAAAGTAAGAGACTCAACGGAACCAGCCAAAAAGGATACACATGCAGCATTCCTAAGCTCGATTCTCCCTCTTGGTCTCAGGTTATAGTAAAAACTGAGTTGCTGGATTCGGTACAGCAAAGAAGAACGCAAAAACAAACAATGCAGTACGAGCACCAGACCACAAATTCCTAGCATCCTGACATATTGAGCCTCGATCATGACATCATCCCATGTCGGCTCAAGCCAGGTGCTATTGTGCATGCGAAAAATCTGCTCATGCTCCTTGGCCATATTCTCTTCTGGGCTGGAGATAGGACTATCAGGTCTAGAGCACGGATGCGCACACGAAAAAGTCGATTCTATGGGATCAGCAGTGAAGAAGTGTCCGACGGCAGCTGTCAAATGGCATGCACCTGTTCCAGCCAACTCTTCATCCGTGGTCCATGAGTGAATCACAACAAAAGGGAAGTCGCCTGTCAGCCCTTCAAAATGGGCGCCAGAGTCACTCCACTTACTGTGCTGTTGTGTCATTGGAATGACAACGCTTTGAGAAGGCAGCTCGCAAATGTTCTGCCCTCCTCTATTATGAAAAACATTCCACCAGAAAGCCTCCCAAGGCACAGGTAGAAAGCAAAAAGTAATGCCACTGCATCTGCCACCCGTCATCCAATTGAAATCGGCGCCAGTGTAGACATGTCTGCAGTAATTCCCCATTGCATCTGGTCTATTTGGGCAGCCAGTACCAGCTAGCCCAACTTGTTCAACTCTTGTGAGTCTGCTCCTCCCGGCTCTGACCTTCTGGGACTCCTTTCCCTGTCTTCGTCCAACCTGAAGGTAGGGATCTGTGAGGGATAGGTCGGCCCCGTCTTCTCTATTGCATTCAATCTCTGCTTTCTGAGATCTGAAGGACTTGCTGCAATGCGGGGCTCTGAAGGCATTGGTCCATGAGCCCCTTGCCCCACATAAGCATTGAACTGCGTCTGAAGCAAGGCTAACATTCTCGCAGTGTTGGATTGTTCCCTTTGCGCCAATAGAAGCTGTTCTTTTAGCTCCCTGTTGGTGGCTGCATCCATATCCATGGCATCTGCTCCTTTCACATCTCTTGTGGCAGCATCGATGTCGAGTTCTTCGATCTTGTCCATGGCCTTCTGGATTTCCAGATCGATGCCATGTCGCTCTTGAACTTCTCCTGTTCTGCATCTTGATGCTTCTTGAGCTCTTCCTTGTATAACGTCCATGCTCTGGTCTTCTCCATCTTGGCCTTCTTCAATCTGGAAATTTTGTCCACTAGCTTCTTCCTCAGGTTGAGGTCCTTTTGTTGGTTCTTTAAATCTTCTTTGTCGTCGTCTTCCCCAACGATCAGCTTTGACTAGACTCCCATCCGATACATTGGATCCAGATGTTGACTTGATAGCCTCCTTTAAAGCTGTCCTCAACTCCGAAACAGAGGGCTGTGAAGACGATGAGGACCTGAGCGAGTCGTATCCAGGGAAGATCTGCTTGTCTTCTTCTTGATCTTTGTCCTTCTTCTTTTCGCCTTTCCTCTTCGGCGGCGTTCCCCATATGTTCCAAGATCGGCCTTTGCCCTTGGAACCTTTTCCGGTGGCCTTGCCACTCCATTGCCACTTCCATGACATCACCTGAAAGGCTCTTCTCTTGAGGGCCTCTGTGCGCTGTTTGGTCCACGAGTGATGTCGATGAAGATGATGTAGTGACCTGCGGAACTTGGAAGAAGTGAAATCACCTTTCGCTATGGCCGCTCGTAAGTGCAGTCTTGACCTTGATCTCAGCTTCCGCAACTTACGGTGCCAATTAGGTGAGCGAGGTATGTTGTCAGCTTTCGTATACCAGTCCGCCACCACGGGGATTACCACCAAGCTATGGCTCCACCGGCAAAGGCGCTAGGCACGGGACAGACGACCTATCGAACCACGTGGGTTCTGGGGCTCTAAAATCGCACACTTCGTGCTCTTTGAGCCCTTCCAAACAAAATATAGAAAAAGAAAACATGTATCGGTATAGTGTATGATTGTTTCTATATGAATATTATACAGTAAGAATATAGAAAGAGTGTTTGCCATCTATGTAATGATAAAGCCGGACCCGGAATAATCCAACCTAATGACTTAGTGTGATATTTTTGGACTTGCGTAGTTGTTTCTATATGCCTATGTCATTTGCAGGTACTTGATTGTCAGCAAGGACCCTTGGTCCCCTTAAAGCCACCACAAAGCATCTCGCATTCTTGTCAGAGGTAGGGAGGGCCAAAAATGTATAAGTTAGATTTAGATTGATGTTAATTCTAATTCTATTGAATTGTTTCTATTAGCTTCTTGTTACTAGTAGTAAGGCCAGGAGCCCCGTTCGTAGCGTCCGATCGCTCCTAGTAGCGATGCCAGGAGCCCCTAGTAACTTGCTCCTAATCAATTCCTGGTTTGTCCAAATCCCAAAGCCACCTGGACATGGTGATCCTTCGCATGGTGATCCTCCGGTCAAGCGTCGGGCTTCAAGCGGACGCTGGTGTCCGCCAGCAACTGCCTCAGCGAGGCCTCGCCCACCATGTGAAACCCGCCATGGCTTGGCGAAGGTCAACGTGTTCGTAACGAAAGACTTCCAAGGACCCCGCGGGTCGCAACTCACATCGTCCTACTATGGCGGACAAACAATCCTACTATGGCCTCTCCCTTTCTTGGTAGCTTCGCATCCTCGCTGGATGTTAAGCTTGATTAGCTCAAAGACGATCCTGGAGCTGTCACCCTTACCGGATCTTACCGGCAAAAGTGGCGGAACCCGCTTTACAGTGGGACATCAACCCATCTTCGGACGGCATATGAACATCTGCGACATCGGGTCCCTTCGAGGAACACCCAAATCCATCTCATCATACCCTTTTTTGCCCCAAAGATGGACCTCCAAGCACTCTAGGCTTTGCTTGTGGGCATATGCAAGCAAAGTGGCTATGTGCTGTGGGGTCGTACCACCTAAAGCATCAAGAAACAAATCAAAAGTTGTATCAGAATGTCCCTACCAAACGAACAAAATAAAGCAATCCTAACAAGATAGAGCAGGGCGCAAAAGCAGTCAATGTGCTGCGCGAGCGTTTGAACGTTAATTACCTTGTCAAACTCTTGCCTCGAATAACCAATTTACACCGGTTCCTCTGACGGCGGCAGCTATATAAAATGTTGTGGCTGGATCCCACTCTTGAGCCAAACGAAGCTTCAGTCTGACAAAGTGTGCTACTACCAATCAGATTGGATCGCAACCTTGCGAAATGATAGTTCGACCTTGATAGATCGACTGCATTTTCTGTTGATCCCTTTCATACCTCATACCTGTCGGTACTTTGCCATGTCACTTTGGTGTTGCCCCTCAACCCCTGTCTTGTCAGCAAACCATCGTAGTAATGCCCAGTTTGATCAAAGAAAGGCATCGTGTCGATGTGGTATTGGAGGCTTCACCTGCCATGCATCGTCCAGGGGGAGAATTGCTGGTAAGCTCCATCCAAGAACTTCAACATGACCACGGTGGTGACCGGATGACCTGGCTTCCTTGTTTCTCGGTTCGATCCCCGGCGGCACCATTGTGGCACCGCCAGCCCCACCTATGCCGGGGGCTGGGCTGGCGAAGGCCATCGCTCGCGGGCGAGCTGGCCCTCAGGTGGTTTTCATGGGCACGGCGGCACAGCAGCACGAGGCACGAGGCACGATCGATGCCATGAGTGCCGTGAGTTTTCAGAACACAGTTTCACTGAACATCACAGATTTCTGAACCATGAAGTTCACTGAACATCACTGAACCACCCGCTCGTAGGTTGGAGGTTATCTCTAGGTTGGAGGCCATCCCTCTTACGTTTCTTAAAGTCTTTTTCTTACGATATGTTTAAAGTATGTGTTCGATTCTCTTTGGGGAACGAACAACAGCTTGCCCTGGGTGGATCGCAACTCAGGGCAAATGGTCGGACCGGTGGTCAGAGGTCGTTTCCGTCTCATTCAGGTGCACCTGCATGCTTTGGAACAACGGGTGCAAACGAGAAGTGAGGATTGCCACATTTGGGAACTGGGAAAGCCCAGACATTCGTTGAGTACGAACTTGGCATTCCATGCGTACCCAAAGCAATCAAAGCTCCGTCGAAAATGGTGCAAATTGTGTAAGGTGTGTATACGAAACATCATGAGCTTCCCAAAATATATGAGCAGCACTGCAGCACAATATATGAGCATCGGAACTCATTGGGTTCACTGCAGTGAATGGTTCACCTAAACCTCTGATGATGTTTTGATTCACGTTGAGTAAAGGACTCAGTGCGAACAGCATGTTTCATGAAAGCTGCTCTGGACTTCTTTGTCACACAGTCAACTGAGTTACCCTCAAAATGTTGCTCTCATCATGAATCAAGAATTAATTAAGATCCCTGTTGCACAGCTGCATGAAACGGCCAGCCGGCCTAGTGCTGGTGCTGCCCCACCGATCTCCTGATGGACAATGAGAACGAACGAAGAAGAGCAAGGTGCTTACGAGCGGTGTCAGGTCTATAAAAACATGATAAAACATCTACATAACTATTCCTAACTGTGACGTTTGGAGATCATCCTGCACCTAAATGTGTGTCTCTTTTTTCCAGCAGTCTTGGACCCAACGCCTTAGCCGATGCCAAGCATGTTGTCTTTGAGGCTCCCTGACTTTGAGACACACCTTGTGGGGTTAACCGGTTAACCTTCTGAACTCGTTTGAACCTGAGGCCCAGTTTTTGTCCCGGGGCCCAACTGGACCACAGGAACCCGGTGATGCTTTTTCAACCTCCCCTCTTGCTCAACCGCTTCAGCGGGTTTCAGAAAGCACCAAGAAGTCGCGCCTTCCTCGTGCCCACCCATGCCGTCCACGAAGGCGAGAACCTCTCGTCGATCGACCACAGTCTGAGAGCTGAGACTCGTTCCCCTCCCAACTGTTTGAAGCTCCAACGTTCTCACGTTCTCTCATCAGCTCTACGTCTGACGGATCCAAAATGATCCAAAGATCCAACGAGTTTTCTGGGTACCCTCTGGGACAGGATCACGGTTTGGCCGTGGCCTTCAGGCGGCATCACTGACCACCACCATGACGCGCCACCTCTTTCCATGTGCTTTCTTCACCGGTGAGGCGGTGGACCCTGGAGCCCCGAGAACCGAACACCCTTTGGCATGTCAAATGGGGCGTTCCTGCGATGCATCGCCAAACACTGGAGATGAAAAGAATTCCCTCCCTCTCGTTTCAACGACTGCAGCCAATTTAGGGACGAGCATGCCGGAATACAGAGAAAGAGATAGACCGACCTAAAATGTCACATCCATACTGTCCATGGAGTCCATACCAACCATTAAAACCCTAAGTCGGAAACTTCCAAAGTACCTGTCCTTCAATACCTCTCCTTGCAAAACACGGTCGTCCCAGTCCCGGTCGCAGGTCGTCCCCACCCGGTTTGACGGTCGCTCAGGTAGCTCCGGCTGCGGAGTCTTCCACCTGAGCACCTTAGGCACGGTCGAGCTGCGGATTCGACGCTTAGCGAGAGCCAATTTGTTGGGGGGAGACCAGCAAAAGACATGTATGATTTGGCTATAATGCATGTTTCCCGTCAAGTGAGATACCCGCAAAGCCAAAGGATATGACGGGGAATAATAGGTCTGGAGGCTTCTTTTGGGGCCTAGAGTCAAGATTCGAACTTGATGCTCAAACAAAATAGATTAAGGGGGAAGGCCCAAGGATCCTGTCCAATCTCTTTGTGAGGTGTTTGCATCTGTGGCCACACTTCTTGCAGCTCTAGGGGTCTTCTGCGAGTTTCTCCCACCTGAGGACCAAAAGAACATCTCATTCCACCAAGAGGGCCACGGGCACCACCTGGCGCACCACCTCGAGCCTTGCCTGATCCCCCCCAAGGAAGCGGCGAAATGCTTCACACATCACATCTCAGCTTCATTTCTGCCCAGCAGCCCAGATTGGCTCCGCTTGTCGTTTCACACGACAGCGGAACCACCCGCTTTTCACACGACAGCGCTTTCGCGGAGCCCAAACGTTGCGGTGTGCGGCGTTCTTCTTCTCGACACAAAGGCTACCCTACTAACTCTCCTAGGTTCTCGGCTTCAGAGTGCAGTGTGAATATTACAGGCCTGACCTCACATGGTGGCCTGACGGGGCAGGTTGTTCCCACATGTGTTGACCACTTTCCTGCGACAGATCTGCGGCAACATCTGTTTAGAGCACTCTAAACAGTGTGGGGACCTGACTCGGAGTCTGAAGACTGAACCAAACATCTGCCCTATACTCGAACGTGCTTCAGCAAGATGAACTGCTGGCCTTGGTTGGTGCGAACGTCAAAGCGCATGATTCTTCCCACTATGCCGCTGAGTCTTTGCGAACGTCTGGTGACAAAAGCATCCAAAAGAAGTTCTAGATTCTAGACCGACTTGCTGTGCCACAATCTTCTCAGTCAAACCCACATTGAAAAAGTTGGTTCCTTCATTGACTTCCTGGGATCCTTCTACGGCGATCGAGAGGAGCGCGTTTTTCTGACATCTCTTGCTGGGCGAGTTCACACCGAGAAATCGAATGCATTTGATCGAGGAAAACGTCTGGTTTGCTTCATGTAGACTCTTGAGGACCATAAACCCCCCAAGAGGACTTCCAATTCAAAGGCTCATAAATCAAGAGTCTACAGAGTCTACATTACTCAAGTTTTGACATTGCGCTCGCCAAGGAAAGTCTCTCTTCCGTCGCAACACTACTCCATTTGGAGACATTGACGAAAAGGGATGCCTGTTGTTCCAAGATCCTCATGCTCCCGCTCCCTCCGCTTTTCGTCCTTTTCGCACGTTGTTGCGTCATCGCCGGTGTGCAGTCGAAGGCTCGTGAGTGGTGGGCTTGCAGTGGACAGGGGGGGGTCACCAGCAGTCACCAACCGTAACCAGTGTACGGCCGTTTCGACTCCTCCAGAGTCCGACACCCCCACGTCCGGGAGCCATGCGAGCACGAATTCCGGGAACACATTCCTGATGACTCAATGTGACATCTTCCAAAGGATGAGGCAGGAAAGAAGGTAGATGAAGGATGATGAAGGTAGCCCTGGTGAGATCTGAGAACGATTGTCGTGTTCATGTCCTGCCAGTCTCCCGGTGCCACGTGTTCACCTGAGCTCGACGACGAGCGCTTCAACCTGGCGAGGGGCGTGTGGATGCAAGTAGGTCTGAGCGTGTGCAGAAACCAGAAAAAGAAAACACTCCTGAAACATCCTGAAACATCCTGAACCCACTCAGCTCCCCGACCCCTCTCGAACTTGTGGGCGCTTTCAGTCAGTTACTGTGCCAAGTCAAAGCGTTCATTCCGAAACCCACAGGTTCCCGGAAGACAGAAACACCTAATTATTTGATTCACGTGGCCAAATCTATTGAGTCACTTGGAACAGAACGCCCCGCAAAAAAGGGGTCAGACGGGTGTCACAAAGGCACGCTTGCCGCCTAATGTCTAGGCTCCCAATGGTGGTTGCCATAGTCCTCTTCCCAACCTGCGCGCATGCCAAACGCTATTTATTTAAAAATAAGAGAAACTGCTCAGATCCGTAAGGCTGGGCATCAGGAAGCATTACAAAGGTAGCAACATCAAGATCATCTATATCTAACTATATCAATATTATATATGTCAATTGGCCATGTCTGCCACCAGTCACTCGCAGGGCTGTCGTGCACTTCCGGCCGTTCGCCCGAAGGCCATTTCGCGACTCGAGGCATCGCAGGAAAAAGGCGGACACCTCGGTAGGTGTTTTGTGATTGGTAGCGGAGCCAGTCGAAAGGGACCGGCTCCGGGTAGGATCCCTGAGTTGCGCCATGTCTGCCGCCGCTCCTTTCGACCCTGGAGGTGGAAACAACAAGGTTTTCACTGGCGATGATGAAGATGCCAAGGAGTACCGAAGATGGAAGAATTGGACTGCCAACAAGTTGCTGACGCTCAGCGACAAGGTGCCCGCCACGGCTCGTGGCGCCTACGTATACACGTTGTTGGGTGGCAAGGCCTTGGAGGCCGTGGAGCACTTGGAACCATCCTCCTATCAGAAGGAGGGTGGCGAGAAGGTGCTGTTCGAGCTTCTGGATCGTCGTTTTCCTCAGAAGGAGGCTTCGGATGAGCTCAGCGAGAATCTGACCAAGATCTTTGAGCTGCGAGCCAACGAGGGAGAATCCCTCAAGTCGTGGGTCAGTCGAGCTTCCGAGGCTTTTGACAACCTGCAGCGCAAGACGAACGTTTCCTTTCCGGAGGAAGCTAGAGGATGGCTCATCCTCCATCGTTCAGGCCTCAATGCTGAACAGGTTGCCGTTGTTTTGGCCATTTCCCTGGGAGTGCTTAAGCGTGAAGAGATTGGAAAAGCGATGCGCAGCTGCTATCCTAATTTCTCTGCACCCAAACGCCGTGCTGCTAGCGCTGCCCTGGTTTCCGACTAAACCCTGCTGGCTGATATGTTGGAGGATGACGAGGACGGTCTGGATCCTTCATTTGAGGACGTTGAACTCCTGTTGGCTGATGACACTACAGCCGATGATGGAGAACCCGACGACGTGTTCGAGGAACGTGACATCAAGGAGACCTTGGCTGTCACTTGGCAGGAAAAGCGAAAAAGCCTGGCTCGATTGCAAAAGGATCGCAAGTTCCATGATGCTGGCCACCTTCGACGACAGTTCAGAGTGGAAGTGGAGGAGCTCAAACGTCGTACCAGATGCCACAAGTGTGGCCAGGTGGGACACTGGTCCAAAGAGCGCCGCAATTCGAGCAAGGGCTCAAAACGAAAAGGTAAGGGTCACGGTAAGGCCCCAGCATCCTCCAGTGAGTCGGGAGCTGCTCTGGTCGAACATTTTCCAGTCGCTCAAGACCCTCCTCAAGAGCTGCTCTTAGTGTCCAGCCCAGGATATGGCATCTGATTCTGGGTGTGGTCGTTCCATTGTGGGAGAAGATACATTGAGCGAGTTCCGTGAGTTGTGGAAAGCCCATGGGTTTGCTGACCCTGAGCCCATTCAAGAGCTGAATCATTTCCGTTTCGGGAATGGTGCACAGGAGACCTCGCGTGAAGTGATTCCCATGCCAGTCGTGTTGGGAGGTCGTCGTGGAGTGATCACAGCAGCCCTTGTGAAAGGCCGTGCTCTTCTGTTGATCTCTCGGAAAGCTCTGATGACGCTTCAGGCCAGGATTGACGTTCACAAGGCCGAACTCACCCTCTTTTCAGACCAGGTCAAGGTTCCTCTACAGACCAATACCGTTGGCCAGTTCATTGTGAATCTGCTGGGTGACTGAAGCGTCCTTTGAGGAAGTCATGGAGACACATGTAGTGCCACCTGTTGAGCAGCCGCCTCGTGACGCAGCTGAATCGGCCTCACCGCCAGCTGCAGAGATGCCAGTGGATGAGCCTCCCACCTCAGGACAACTGTCGATTTGGTCTCGTATAGACGACGGGTTGAAATTTGCACCACTCACCGGTAAGCAAGGTCCTAGCTGGAACCAGGTCGTCCGTCGCCGAGTCACCGATTTCGTGTCTGGGGAAGTCATCCTTGATCAACAGATAGAACATCATAAGGGCAAGAATCAGTATCACACGTTGATTCCACCCCAACACGTTCGAGTGAAGACTGAGTTCTTTTTCCGGCCACAGGAGAAGATGTGTCCTACTGAGTGTTTGCCGGTTCACCACCTGAGACGCCTGAGAGCTCAGGTGAAGTGCTCGAACGCATGTCCAGCCACCATGATCAAGGGTCGCCGGTTCGTTGTAGCTGAAGTTTTCAGTCCACCTCGATTTGCACCTGTCGCTCAAGAATTCGGGTTTCACGCGACCTCATACGATCTGATAACCGGATATGACTTCACTAAGAAAGAGCATCGTGACCTGGTCCGAGAAGAGCTGGATATCACACCACCTGACCTGTTGGTCCTGTGTCCTCCTTGCACTCATGAGGGAGGCTGGTGGCATCTCAATGCTGCCAAGCTGCCTCCGCATCTAGTTTTGAAGCTGAGGATGCGAAGCCGGGTGTTCATCAAGTTTTGTCTTGAGCTGTTTGAACAACAGGTGTCTAAAGGCAGGTTCGCTATGTTCGAGCATCCCCTTGGATCTCAAGTTTGGACACTTCCTGACATGACAAAGCTGTTGAACCGATTCTGTTCAACCAAATTGCACATGTGTCGATATGGTATGAAGATGCCCAACCATGATTGTTTCATCCGGAAACCCACTCGTCTTTTGGTGAGTCATCGGACCATGGAGTCTCTAGGGTTGATTTGTCCGGGAAAGCAACATCCCCAGCATGAGTGTCATGATGTGATTGCAGGTTCAGCAGTTGGTGTCGGTTCCATTAGCAAGCTTGCGGGTCAATACCCTCCTGCTTTTGTTGAGAGCGTACTCCGAACTATTCCTGCTTTTGCAAGGGTCTGGGAAGCATCCTTAGTGCAATGCGAGGATGAATCGTTCTCACATATGGTTGAGGAATGCCTGGCGGCCCACCGCGAGGATCTGACACAGCCGGAGGTCGAGGACACTCGAGTGAACGGTGCCCTGATTAAATTGCACAAGAACCTGGGACATCCGTCCAACACTGATTTGGTCCGAATCCTTCGACACGGTCAGGCTTCGCAGAAGGCCATAACCATGGCCAGGGATCTGGTGTGCGATTTTTGCAAGGCTCACATCAAGCCTCACCACCAGAGGCTTAGAGCACTTATAGATAGCCTTTGCGCCCTCCCACCGTATAGCCTAGTTCCTGGCATGTGTGGGGGTTTTAGACAAGCAGCGAAATGGCAAAAAGATGTATGACGAACCACTTTGCCTACTTCCAGGCTTGTGTGTGGGCCTTGTGGCTAGCAGCAAGAAGCCCAAAAAAGGGTCCAAACACTTTGCCTACTTCCAGGCATGTGTGCAACAAGCGCCCTAAAGCCAACAGAGGATTGCATTTCCCAAAAGAGGAGAGCATGATCCACTTTGTCGCACTTGAGCCACTATAAGGGGAAAAGTTAGAACATATCAAAACACCGTTTGCGCACCAAAACCCAACAAACACACACACTCAAAAGCTACGGGCTTCAAGAACTTTACCCACCACACACACACACATGCTGACTGCAAGCGTGATATCTCTTTTCAGCTGGCGAAAGCATCCTTGCCAGTCCACACGAGACATGCCATAGTGGCATAATGTTGAACACATCTCAGGCCCATAGTTTGGGGGTGTGTGTGGGCCGCAATCTTCCTTGGTTTTTTCCGCAATCAAGAGGGCACATTTTGGTACAGTGATGCACCCGAACAAGAATTCCGAGCAAGATTCTTGAGGCGGCCAACCAAGTCTTCATCTAAAGCGCATCCGATGTGTCGCATATTCCACAGACCCATGTCTATGAACCTTGCTGTGAACAAGAAGTCCCCGATGTTTACACAAAACACGAAAGCGCCATGTTTGACCAACAGATTAATAGTCCCAAAGGGCAAATGTTCAGAAGCATGAATTTTTGGGTAAACTGGCCAAAGAAGAGTCTTCTCTCGAAGGGCTTCTGCAGATAGGACTCAGCTCAAGCCACACCAACAGAAGAGCAAGAACCACCGATTTTGTGGTCCTGTTGTTTGAAGAGACCAGCCAAGCTGCAATTCCAAGCCTCCCTGAACTTCAAATACATATCCACAATTTCCCCTTTAGATTCAGGAGTCAAGAACTTCCTTAGCTATTCCCAACGTAAGTTCTTGGAGGCAACCTGGTGAGGTTCAGACACACAGCCATTAAGTGAGCGGCGGCTGTTCAGCCACAATAGTATAAATTCTGCAAAGTGCGATGAACATGTTCGCTCGATACCTTGGCGATTGAATCATTATACGCAAAACACCAAACCCATTTGGTGAGTCCCTAGCTCAACCCAAACCCAGGAAACCACAACAAACAATGCAAAGCCTAGTTGCACTTGGTGAACATCTTGTGGGTTTTCAACTGCTTTTTGGTAAAGAGTCGGAGTGATCCAAAAGATCATGATCCTGGCGGCCAAACCTTTGAGGAATTTCTGGGAGATGTGAGTGTACGTAGTCTTATTCACCAAGATCTTTCGGGAGAAGAGTTTCTGTCTCGCCCGCGCGGCATTGTCTATTCCTAGGCTCAAAGAAAATAGAGCAACACACTGTTTTGGATGTTTTGGGCAAACGCAACCACAAAAGCTCATCTCCACCTAGCTTCGGTGAAGTTTGCACCACCGACTGTAGTCTGACCAAAGCTCATTGAGCAACTGCTGTTGGCCATTGTTTGTGATTTCCAAGATGGAAGACCACAACATGTCAGGCACAACCTGCAGGTCCATGATGTGCAGCACATCGCAATACACTCCTTTCCGTGTTCTGGTGCTCACAGAAAATCAGGTTACCACCACTCAAAAAAGAACAAAACACATTCTAGCCACTGGCAAATGGGAACGAGCTTCTGAAAGGGTTGAAGCCGGGCAGGCTTGAAATGTCAGACACGCAGTGGACCCGCTCGAATTCGGCCTTCGTTTCCACAAGCC